TATGGGTCCGACAAGACTTTGTAAACTGTCCCGACATTGATTCCGGTTAGCTCCTTTATGGGTCCGACAAGACTTTGTAAACTGTCCCGACATTGATTCCGGTTAGCTCCTTTATGGGTCTGACAAGACTCTGTAAACTGTCCCGACATTGATTCCGGTTAGCTCCTTCATGGGTCCGGCATGACCCCGTAAACTGTCCCGACATTGATTCCGGTCAGCTTCTACAACGGTCCAACATGACCTCGTCCACTGTCCAGACATTATCTTCAACAATAATCTGACACGACCATACAGTATCTCCTATCCTATTTTATTTTATTTTATTTTTCTACTCTCTCCAAACTCAAGTTGGTAGGTTCCTATCCCCCTTGAATTTGAGGGGGGCTGTTAGAATATAATATGTAAAATGTTGCTTTAATAATTAGGTTAGTATAATAATTAGTATAATAATTAGTATGCTTTAATAGTGTACCTTTAATAATGTTGTTTGGTTTGTGCTTCTACTTTCGGTTTGTAATTGTTCTCCCTCTCCTCTATAAAGGAGAGAGCTCAACATAACATACAATATACAACAATCAATAATACAATCATTTCTCTTTATACATTAAATTTCTACAAAATCCTCTTTGGAAACTGAGGCTGTGAGAGGAGGAAGCTGAAAGTAAGGTAGACGTTCAAGAAAGACAACATGGTGAGAGACATATGGGCGACAGGAAACAGAATCATAACAGCGATAACCTTTTTGAGTGAGATTGTAACCCAAAATGACACATACGACAGACTAGACACTCAATTTTGTCCTATCTTTATGGGGTAAAAGGACAAAAAAAACAAACCTAAACACACGAAGGAGGGAGTAATTGAGAAGTTGAGAAAACAAAGCCTCATAAGGACCGACTAGAGAGAAGTGGAGTAGGCCTATGGTTGAGAAGAAAAGCAGCAGTAAGAATTGTCTCACCCCAAAACAGAGGTTGAGAAGAAAAGCAGCAGTAAGAATTGTCTCACCCCAAAACAGAGCTGGAATAGAGGTAGAGAGGAGAGACCTAATTGTCTCAAAGAGATGCTGATGTTTACGCTCAACGCGACCATTTTGGGCATGTGTATTAGTACAGGAAGTCTGGTGAATGGTACCCAAATTGGCTAAATACTCACAGAACTCAGTTTTAAAATATTCCCCACCCAGTCAGACCGTAACAATTTAATGGTAGACCCAATGTGTGCAGTGACCATGAACTGGAAAGTATGATATATTTGGTAGAAGTCATACTTATGAGTCATAAGATAAACCCAAGGGTAATGAGTGCAGTCATCAACAAATGATACATAGCATGCAGAACCCTTTTAGTGAGAATAGGAAAAGGACCCCAAACATCAGTATGAACTAAAGAAAACGGTGTATCAGATGTAGAAATACTTTTACGAAAAGGTAAGGCTGTCATTTTGGCAAATTTACATCCCCGACACTCGGTAAGTTGACAAGGAAAAACTTTAACCAATATACCTGACTGAGCTAAAGAGCGTAGGAGAATCTAACTGAAATGCCACAAATAGAGGTCTGGAATGCCACAAATAGAAAGGACTTGACAAAAGAGGAAAAGGCAGTCGAAGAGATATTCATAGGCAGATGTAAGCTCTCCACCACATAGAGGTCTCCAACTCTACGGCCGGTTCCAATCTGCTGCTTGGACATCCGATCCTGCATAGAGCAAATAGAATAAGAAAAGATAACATCAAAACCGGAGGCATCAAGTTGATTGATTGATAATAAACTGACAGATAACTGAGGAACATAAAGGACAGATGGAATAGAGACAACAGACAGTAGGACAAACTTAATAGATATAATAGACATACTAGACCCATTAGTAGCTTTAACAGTAATAGGAAAGGGAAGGGGAATACAATTTTGAAGTAAGGAGAGATGATGAGTCATATGATGAGAAACACCAGAGTTAAAAATCCAGACAGATGAAGAGATACCTGAAGAAGACCTAAGCAAACATGAATGAAGAGAAGAAACAACCGAAGCAGACAGGAAGGGCTGGGAGGTAGATAGTATACACTGAAATTGACTAATATGAGCACTCAAGGAAGCCAAGTCAAGATTAGGAGTCAAAGCAAATGCAGTGGAACTAACGGAGGGACAAAAAGTACTCAGAGGAGGAGCTCGAGATTGAGTTTGAGACTATTAAGAAGACGAGGTTTTTAGGACAGTGATACTTCCAATGACCCCTCTAATGGCAAAAGGCACATTCATCTGAAGCCAGAGACATCATAATAACCAAAAGACTGAGGGATTCAAGTGTAATAAACCCAAAATAAATCAAAATAGTTGAACCAGGGGTTCAAGTGTAATAGCCAAAAATCTGAGGGGTCAAACTGTAATACACCAGAACCAGATGACCACAATGTAATAATTAGAAAAATGCATGGTCCAAAACGTAATAATCGACAAATTTATACTTAAAGATCAAACCAATTACGAAAGGTCGTGGACAGAGGCAGATAAAGAGATCGACCTTGCGAGAGAACCAAGAGTCACGAACAGAGGCACAGAGAGAGAGATCGACCTGGCGACCTCACAAACTGAAGAGAGAGAGAGAGAACCCTCGCACAACTCTTCGAACCGGAAAGAGCCCTCAAACTGTGTCGCACGCACAAGTCGAAGGATCGCGAACAGGAGAGAGAACCAGAGACTGAGATGCGTAGCAAAGGAGATGGGTCACAGTTTTGGGTTGGATGACTCGCAACAGCTATTCAAAGATGACTTCAAAGAACCAAAAGGTGTTCACGAACTAGAGAGCCAAGCATCTACCTCCAACGATACAGAGAGAACCGGTCGTGCATGAGACCCAGTCACGAAGGAAAACCAGTTAGCAAACAGAAGGAAGACTACGAACCAGATGAATCTTCAAACAAAGGGAAACTTCAAACCAAATTTGATCAAACTAGACGAACCCGAGAAAGAATCAGTTTGTGCAAAATCTTAGCCACCACGAGATCAACAATCATGTAGCTCTGATACCATGTAAGTTTTCTGAATGTTTTTCTGCATATTCAATTGTGTAATACAAAGAGTACAACCGCACCTAATCTAAAAAAAGAAATAAGAATAAATCTATATTCCTACAATCAATCTAATATTCACACAATCAATCTAATATATTTACATAATTAGCATAATATTCTCACCATCATGAACACTAGTATTGGATTTAAAGGGCCAGTGACAGAGCTAGTAAAGAGCCAAGGGGGGGGGCAAGTGTTTTGGGAAATTACATTTTTAGTTTAGGTTTTGAAAATGTTTTAATTTTTTTCCTTCTAAAGTTATATATATACCCTTTAATTTTTTCATATTCTTCTTCACACGAACTCAACCCACCATTAATTAGAATATTGACAAAGACTGACTCCTTGTTTAATTCATAAATAAACTTAAGAAAATAATTTTGGTTATTGTGCGTATTTAATTGACATTTATTTTTCTTCCATTTCATATTACTTGAAAGTCGTATAGATATTGATACTATGATGCTTTTTCTATAGTGATATGTATGATATTGGAATAGTTTTGAAATTTTGATAATTGTTTTTTTTTTTATTTACCATACTAAACCACCGTAAAGGGCTACACAATATTCAGCTGAAAATGAAAATATATTTCTATCTAGTGAAAATGAAAACTGCAAAACAAATATATTGAATGCATGATAGTGAGGAAGGGAAGGTGAGGATAGTATTAGTGTATTTTATTTTATTTTATTTAGTAAAGAAAAGGTAAACCAAAAAGGAGAGAGAGAGAGAGAGGGAGAGAGAGAGAGAGAGAGAGTAGAGGAGGGAAATGAAGGAAGGACCTACAGATTATATCGATAGAGCATGCGAGAGGCTTGCTTAACAGGGAGCTTTGCCATTCCATCGGCATACTCTATGAAGACATACTCAATTGGTTCGGTGGAATCTTTGGGAACGTCGAACTTAATCCCAACAAATCGTCCGATGCCGACCCTCTTGTGCACAACGTAATCTCCGGAGCGAAGAGTGTAGGGGTCGACCTTGTAGCTGAATGCTCCTCCTCCAACTCCAACCATATCACCCCCCATGCCCCTGCCCTTCAATTTCAATTTCTGCAAACCCCTCTGCTGCTGCTCCTTCACCAACTGAATATACCTATCGGCCTCCTCCGAGTCCACAAGGGGCATCGAAGCCTCTCTCTTTCCCGCCTGGTCTCGGCGTATCCTCTCGTTCAGAATTGATATGGCGTCGCTCTCCGACTCGATATTTTCCTTCCGTCGAGGGGGCAATTTCGTGGTGGTGGTGGTGGTGGTGGTGGTGGTGGTTGCGGCCCTGGACCTGGACCTGGAGATGGAGATGGGAGAGAAGAGTGTCGAGACAGTAATAATAGTAGAAGCGGACGAGCCGAATCTTTTGGAGAAAACCATGGGAGAACAAATATCGGGCTCCCATAGGGAGATTGGGAAGACAGAGAATTTAGCATTAGCATTAGCAGTAGCAGTAGCAATAGCAGCCATACTTGCTACCGAAACGTTTTGTTTGTCAAAAATAATTAAATAAATGAGTTACCTCCCATGAGATTTCTATCGGGCCTTTTCCCAATATAAGCCCTTTTTTCATTGTATTTTCAAAACTAGGCTAACTTTTGATGGAATTTCAAAACTAAGTTAAAGCGTTATTATTATTCGCGCTTTTACTGTTAGGAGCATAAAAGTAGATGAACAGGAAAATCGCTATTACAAATAGCGACTTTGGTTAAGAAGTCGCTGTTACAAATAGCGCTTCTAGCGTTAGTTTTTGTCCGGATAAAAACGCTTTTCTTATTAGCGCTTTTTACAAAATTTTCCAAAAAATGCTATTTCTAATAGCGATGATAACAAAAAAATTTTCCCAGAAAAAACGCTATCTCTAATAGCGATTTCAGTTCAAATTTTCTTGCCAAAAAACGCTATTGCTAATAGCGATTTTAGCAGATATTTTTTTTTTCGCCCAGCGTTTTTAACATAAACTTTGTTAGAATAAAACGCTATTTTCAAGATAAAACAAAAGAAAAAAACATAAAACATATTTTAAAAAATATATTTACACGGTATATTTTAGTACTTGGCTTTACTAAAGCAATTATCATGTTAAAATATGTTTTTTTTTTCTTTTGTTTTTGTTTTTGTTTTTGTTTAGAATGTGTAATTCATAAATTTTACATAATATTACATACTATTTTTCATATATATAATTTCAAAATCATATTCATGTAGATATTATTAAGCCAATCATGTTCATTTATTTGGCTTTACTGAAGCCGTTGTCATGTTACATTTTTCATTTTTTCTTTTGTCTTTGTTTTGATTTAGAAAATGTAATTAAAAAAAAAATTTCGTCTTCACTAAAGTTGTTTTCATGTAAATATTTTATTTGCTTATTGTTTTGTGTAATTAATTATTATTTTTTTCGCTTTACTAAAGTCGTTTTCATGTAATTTTTTTTTTTCTTTTGTCTTTGTTTTGATTTAGAAAATGTAATTAAAAAATTTTTTTCGTCTTCACTAAAGTTGTTTTCATGTAAATATTTTATTTGCTTATTGTTTTGTGTAATTAATTATTTTTTTTTTCGCTTTACTAAAGTCGTTTTCATGTAATTTTTTTTTTTCTTTTGTCTTTGTTTTGATTTAGAAAATGTAATTAAAAAATTTTTTTCGTCTTCACTAAAGTTGTTTTCATGTAAATATTTTATTTGCTTATTGTTTTGTGTAATTAATTATTTTTTTTTTCGCTTTACTAAAGTCGTTTTCATGTAATTTTTTTTTTTCTTTTGTCTTTGTTTTGATTTAGAAAATGTAATTAAAAAATTTTTTTCGTCTTCACTAAAGTTGTTTTCATGTAAATATTTTATTTGCTTATTGTTTTGTGTAATTAATTATTTTTTTTTTCGCTTTACTAAAGTCGTTTTCATGTAATTTTTTTTTTTCTTTTGTCTTTGTTTTGATTTAGAAAATGTAATTAAAAAATTTTTTTCGTCTTCACTAAAGTTGTTTTCATGTAAATATTTTATTTGCTTATTGTTTTGTGTAATTAATTATTTTTTTTTTCGCTTTACTAAAGTCGTTTTCATGTAATTTTTTTTTTTCTTTTGTCTTTGTTTTGATTTAGAAAATGTAATTAAAAAATTTTTTTCGTCTTCACTAAAGTTGTTTTCATGTAAATATTTTATTTGCTTATTGTTTTGTGTAATTAATTATTTTTTTTTTCGCTTTACTAAAGTCGTTTTCATGTAATTTTTTTTTTTCTTTTGTCTTTGTTTTGGGTTAGAAAG